ATAGCTCTTTTTTGTTTTAACCTTGGCAAAAGCATCCCTGATATCTTTCAGCTGAATTATCTTGAAGTCTTATCTTTGTTAACTTCATATTCGCCTGTTAGAAGGGGATTAGCGGCAGGTTGTATTTCATCTGCTAGATTCCTACCTATAGTGCAAAAAAAATTGTTCATTGCGTTAGAAACATCCTTTTTGTTCCGAGTTTCTGTACCAGATTCTATGAGACAGTCAATGCTACTTGACTTTGATCTCTTTTTGAGAAGTTCATTGATTGCTTTCCAAGATTCTTTCATATTACCTTGACATGCAGAGATCCTATTGGTATAATGCTGCTTCTTCAACCGAACATTAAGGGCATTGACCTTATTACGGATCTTTCTGTAAGCGTCCATAAGTATTGGGGATTTACCTTTGACTGCTGATTTTTTTAGTTTGTCATCAAATCCCTAAGACCCTTGTCAATCCAGGGGCAATATTTCTCAGAAACCCGAAATTCAATGAAAGGCGCATGTTTTTCTATAATCTGAGTAAACATTTCAGACCAATAGTTGATAAGCACATTGATATATATCATCAGTTTTAGAAAATATTTGTTCCCCACATATCCCAGAAACATTAGCAAGGAATGCTTCCTCATTAAAAATTTTCATTTTACGGGTCTTGATCTTTTTGTGACCTTTCTCTACTGCTCCGTTAAATTTCGAACGCAATAAACCATATAGTGATCACTCAAGGAAACCCCAAATACTCCGGATTTTATGATGTTTCTGGGACATGTTGTAGCAACATAGTGGAGGCTCTAAAGTCACAAAATAGGCTCAATCATGGTCCATAATAGGCTATGCTCCAAATGGACTGGGTCCGAGTACCCCAGTCTAAAAATAGCATTCGGGGGCAAATTCGAGTTATGGTCTGACCCCTATCTTTTTCAGCACATCAAATTACTAAGGTTTGCCAAAATTCAGTTATTTATTTTTATTTGCAGTGGAGTTATGATGAATGCTCCAAATGGACTGGGTCCGAGTACCCCAGTCTAAAAATAGCATTCGGGGGCAAATTCGAGTTATGGTCTGACCCCTATCTTTTTCAGCACATCAAATTACTAAGGTTTGCCAAAATTCAGTTATTTATTTTTATTTGCAGTGGAGTTATGATGAATGCTCCAAATGGACTGGGTCCGAGTACCCCAGTCTGAAAATAGCATTTAGGGCAAATTTGAGTTGGGGTCTGACCCTTATCTTTTCCAGGTCATCAAACTGGGTAGCTGTGCGAAATTTCATGCTGGTATCACGATTTGCATGATCAATGTTATAAGAGCCCCCACTAGATTTCTTGGCAAGACCACAATTTGTCTCTGATTGATTAATTTGATTGATTATAAAAATTTTATTTTTATCAATGCTTAATAAGTCATTATATACCTCTCTTGTCATCAAATTAGCAAATATGATTGATTATAAAAGGTTTCCGCGTTTTCCCCATTTTCGATTTCACCCTCGTCTAAATCGAAAACGCGGATAACGCGGTATTCTCATTTCCTATGAAAATAAATTATTACATTTTATTTCGTGAAAGAGCTCTATTGCTTTGTTCACGTAATTGCATTCTAGAAACGTAAAGCAAATTTTCACTATTCCGCGTGTTCCGCGTTTTTGCGAGCTCCGCGTTTTCCGCGTTTTCGACCTGGCCAAAGATAACAAAATGTCAGGGAGAAATGGAAAATATCAATATTATAGTTTGAATGCCGAAAACACAAAGGCGACCAGAAAGCGAATGAGAAGCAATAAAATCTTTGGGTCTAGCGTGCCATTTGTTTTCTGGGCAGTATCAATTTTGTACTTCGTCTAACTTCGGTGAGAAAATGTTGGGGGAGGGGTAACATTTTGGCAACATACTTTTAGTGATGTCATCCTAGGATTTTGAAATCGCCTTTCCGCAACCAAAAGTTTCTCATGGGCGTTCCCTTCAGGTAAATTGGTGTCCTTGTTGAAAACGAGCGTTTTCTGATGTTAAAAAGGACGTAGCCTAAAATTGTTCGTCTGACACTCCTCAGAGCATAAAACGTCAGAATGCAAAAGTCAAATGTCAGGGTCCCAAAGAACACGATGAAAAATATATACTTAGTTAAATCCACAACTGTATATATCCACAACTATATATATCCACAACTGGGTATATATTTTCCATCGTGTTCTTTCGTACCATTACTCTGACGTTTTATGGTCTAAGTAGTGTCAAACGAAAAAGCTTTTAGCCAAATTGTTGTAAAATGTTTGCTTTTTTTCAAAGCTAAAAAAGCTATAAAACTGAGCTGCTCAAATTGCAGCTGGCAGCAGATTCGTTGCATCGGGCTAACAACTTATAAAGAAGCTTGCCTGTTGGAGCCCCAGGGGGAGCACTCAGCACATAGACATATCCAAGAATTTTACAAGCCACCCAAAAATATCAGCCCATTTTCAAAGGACCCAAAAATATCAGTTCTACTTATATCTTATACCCAAAAATATCACAAATTATAATTTCAGAAGATATTGTATCACATGGTTGTAGCATTAAAACTTCCAAAGAGTATGATAACATGACTTGCAATGGGGAAAAAAACCTCAGCCGATGAACAATACATTTGTTTCAGATATGGAAATCTCACAAAAACCCAAAAAGATCAGTGTTTCTAAATTTGATACCTAGAAATATCAGAATTGTATCTATTGTTTTTGCAGGACCCAAAAATATCATTTCTGCTAAATATTTAACCCAAAAATATCACTTTGGGTAGGCATTTGACCCAAAATTATCGGACTGTCCTCCCCCCCGTATGTATATGTGCTTAGTGCCCCCCTGGGGTTGGAGCGCAGACTAGCTAAACCAGCGAGTCTATTATCATTTTCTCAAATCTCTTAATGAACTGGCACCACCATACATCTGTAATTTTTTTATAAAAAATCCTAGCTAAAGAGTACATCAACTGACCTAAGGCTACCAAAGAAAAACTCCAAAAAATGGACAGAAATGCTTTTCGTTAAGAGGTGCTGGGTCTTAGAATTAGTTCTCAGCTGAGTGTAAACAGGTATTTTCTCTAAGCAACTTTAAAAATTTCTTGCTCAGTTTGAATAGGTGCTATCTACGTGGTCTTTCTATCGTTGATGTTTATTTTAAATCGACTCAGCTAAAATCGGGTCAAAGTAGGGTTTCATTATAATTTTTATATATTGAATTGTCATTAGGTTAATTCATTTGTGTTCTGTAACAGTTTTTGTAAATCTTTTCAGTGAAGCCCCCTTGAAAAACGGCATTGCTAAATGGCTACCCTCCTTAAATATATGAATTGAAATCAAAGAATGAACTGAAAAGTACCTGTAACTTTAAGATTTCCTTGAAAATCGAGAATGAGGTTTTCAAGCTTCAAATCGCGATGCACAACACCTCGCTGATGTGTATGGTAGATAGCCAATGACAGTTCTTGAAAGTGTCTCTTTACTTCCATTTCACTTCTGTACTTTTGCTCGTTAACGAAATCAAGAAGATCACCACCTTCACATAGCTCCATAACCATGAAAATGCGATCAGTAGATTCATAAATCCCCAGTAATTTTACCTGAAAGCCGTATTGTTCATTTTATACTACAATGCAACTGTATTAACAACATGTGTCATTTATACTACAATGCAACTGTATTAACAACATGTGTCAACTTATTTGACAACAAGGCAAAGCGAAGAAGTTGCGATTAAGTTTGGTTTACAAGATCAATTCATGCTCTTTATCTACTAAATTAATATGGTTTTCTCGCTCGATCGTAACAGCTGTTATATCTTTGTTTGTCTGTTTCTTATTTCTTTTGACAATTGCTAGATTATTTTGCTCTCGTTCACATGGATGAGTGAAGAGACAGAACCAAATTGACAAGAAAGAAGAGACTTTTGTCTCAAAACCCTTATTGAAAGATAAAATCATAAGTAAAAAGCAGCTAAAAATCTTTCCAATAACACATTAATCGTACAATACGTAGACGTACAATATTGGGGTGATCGAGTTCACAAATCGCATTTATCTCCCGCTGAAGAAACTTTTCGAGGTACTCCGCCGGAGCTTTTCGCTTGTCAGTAATTTTGACTGCGACCTTTCTTTTCAGTTTCTCGTGATATGCGGAAACCACTTTGGCAAAAGCCCCTTCCCCTAGTAGCTCCTCTGCTCTTATACCCTCCTGTGCCAAGGTCACGAAAGGACTCTCCTTTTGCTTCAACCATTTATTTCCTTTAAGCACTAGCTTTACATTCTCAGCGACCTCCTCCATGCTACTTACCTTGTGTTAATTGAAGTTTTATCTTGCTTTAAGCTCAAAAGTGTGCTTTTTGACGTCTGATTGTTTCATGACGTCAGTATGGGAAATTCATGTAGTTACTGGCGGCAGGCGTATAAACGGAATATCGCTACTGAAAAGAAGGACCGAGGAACCAAAAATAATTAAAGTAGATTTATTTCTGAGTGGATTGATTTCTTGATTTTGCAGGAGAGTAGAGAAAACTCTGCCCGAAAATATATCAGCACAATTTTGGAGGTTAGCATCTTGAACCAGGGCCGGATTAAGTTGGGTGCTATGGGTGCTGCGGAATAAGGCCTATTCTTTCAATGGGCACATGCGACATTGGCTTGACCGAAAAGGAAGAAAACAACTCTCTGGCATGCTAAGATGGAGAGAGGGATCTAAATTTAGAAGAAACTGACAACCTGGTATTTTTCAAGACCACGGCGAAATTGTTGTTTTTATCTGCTGTAAAAATGTTTTGTGTAGCGTTAACGCTAATAAAAGACACTGGTTTATACGCCTGTATTCATCATATTCTGAATCACGACTAACTTACATTGTTAATTACAATTACTTATAATACACGAATCTGGTTACAATCAATCAACAACAACAGAGTACAAAGCATAGTGACAGCAGTACATTACAAACATGATACAGAGATGATGACATATAGATTGATTACAGGCTAGTACATTACACCTTCCCCTCCCTTACAATGTTGAGTGTAGCAAAGGTTGGTCTGTGTTAATGTGCAACAACCTCTCCGTAACGTTGGGGGGGATTAATGACCTGACGAAGGTGAGGTGGTCTGGCAGTACCCCTTTGAACAACTCCTTGCATCTCTTCATGCTGGACAACTGGAAAACCCTCCCTAGGAATTATCCCTGGAGTTTCAGGGACTGGATGGAATGGTTGACCCTGGCCCAGGGGCAAAGGGCAAGCCTTGAGTTGATTGTGATGGGCTACAAGAAATTTGCCATTGCTTGACCTGATGTTATAGTTAACCCCACGTCGAGTGCAGATTTGGTATGGCCCAACCCATTTCCTACCAAACTTCCAGCTTTTGGGGCGCCATAGCCAAACCGTTTGTCCAATATCAAAAGGTTGCCATTCTTTGAGGGTCTTGTTGTTATAATGCATACTCTGTCTAGATCTAGCTATTTCTAAGTTTTTCTGAGCTATCTGATTGGCATTCTGAATAGCCTTGCGTAAGGACTGACTATAATCAGATTGGCTTGATGGATTCTGCAGAGGTACACTTAACTCAATTTCAATGGGCATGCGTGCTGGGTGCCCAAAAACTAACTCATATTGAGAGAAACCTGTTGATTCATGTATACTTGTGTTATAGGCAAAGACGGCCTGGTCTAACCATTGGTCCCAGTCACCACTATGGTGTGATACAAAATTACTAAGTATGTCCTGCAGGGTGCGATTTTGCCTTTCAACCAACCCATCACCCTGCGGATGATAGGCTGTTGTTCGTGACTTCTTAACCCCCATGATATTATAAATTTCATGCATTAATGTACTGTCAAAATTCCGTCCTTGGTCTGAGTGGATGACCGTCGGTGGACCAAACCTGGAGAAAACGCGAGAGACAAGTGTATTGGCTACAGTGGCGGCTTTTTGATCCTTTGTTGGGAATGCCTCACACCATTTGGTGAAGTGGTCCATCATGACAAGAATATGTTTGTTACCCCTAGCAGTTTCAGAGATAGGTCCCATATAATCTATTGCCCAAAAAACAAATGGCTCACTGACTTGAATGGGTTGCAAAGGAGCTCGTGTCTGTTTGGAATCATGTTTTCCTTGGCTACAAGCTGGACAATTTTGAACAAAGTTGGTAATAGAATCAATCATTTTAGGCCAGAAAAATCGTTCCTTACATCGCATTATAGTGCGCCTAATGCCCATATGTCCACCAGATGGGCCACAATGAAGACTTTGGAGAATATTAGGGATTAAACTATCAGGTATAACCACAAGTTCCCTAGAAAACCCATGCTTAGATACCAAGGCCCTTACCAGCAGCCCATTACTGACATACAGTTGATCCCAGCAACTCCAAAAAGATGAAAGATTGGGGTTCCTTTTCCACACAAATGAAGGGGGTTTTGGAAAACCTTGTTCCTTAATTTCAATAACCTTCAATATATGCGGGTCAGCACGCTGAGCTTGATGCAGATTTGCATCTGGTAATAAATTCACTAAACAACTTACAGCAGGGTTGGTTTGACTATTTTGGTAATGATTTAAACGAGAGAGAGCATCTGCATTTTGGTTGGAGCTACCAGGTCTGTGGCTTATTGTAAAATCAAATTCTTGGAGATCCATGAGCCACCTGGCAATACGACCCTTAGGTTCTACAGTATGCAACCATTTAAGGGCCTGATTGTCAGTGATAATCTGGAATGCATGGCCTACAAGATAAACACGAAAGTGTCGAGTGGCAAAGACAATAGCCAGGGCTTCCTTTTCCATGGTGGAATAATTTTGCTCTCGAGGAGATAGGGTCCGACTGGCATAAGATACAACCCTTTCATGGCCATTATCATCTAATTGCGCTAATACAGCACCAAGGCCAACATTTGATGCATCAGTTTGCAAAATAAAAGGTCGATCAAACTGAGGGTACGCCAAGATGGGAGCAGAACATAAGAGTGCTCTTAGTGTTTCAAAAGCAGTCTGGTGCTGTTCTGTCCACTTAAACGGGATACCTTTCTTGGTAAGTTCAGTCAAAGGGGCTGCCATGGTTGCAAATTGAGGGATGAAACGCCTATAATACCCTGCTAGTCCTAAGAATGATCTAAGCTTGTCCAGGTCAGTTGGTGGGGGTAAATCCTGCACAGCCTTAATTTTAGATGGATCAGTATGAACCCCTTTACTTGAGACACAGTGACCTAAATAAATGACCTGATCGGCACCAAAAGAGCATTTAGAAGCCTTGACACGCAGCCCATTTTCACGAAAGCGTTGTAAAACAGATGTTAAACGTTCACAGTGTTGTTCAATGGTATCAGAAAAAATGATTACGTCATCAAAATAACAAAGGCATATATCATAGGTTAAACCTGATAAGATAATGCCAACGGCCCTAGAAAATGTTGCTGGAGCTGTTGATAATCCATATGGCATACGAAGGAATTCAAATAGGCCACCAGGGGTAATAAAAGCTGTTTTTTCTCTATCTTCTGAGGTCATACTTACATGCCAGTAACCGCTGCGAAGATCAAGAGTACTAAAGAGCTTGTTGTTATTTAGAGAATCAAGAAGGTCATCTACTCTAGGCAAGGGGTGAGCATCTTGCTTGGTGACAAGGTTTAGCTTGCGGTAATCAACACAAAATCTATAGGACCCATCCTTCTTTTTAACAAGGACGACCGGAGACGCCCAAGGGCTAGTGCTTGGTTGTATAACCCCTTTTTCTAACATTTCATTAACCTGTTTATGAATTTCTCCTCTATAATGATAAGGCAACCGTCGTGGATGCTGCTTTATTGGCAAAGAGTCACCAGTATTTATACTATGAGATAATACCGAGGTATGGCCTAAACCAT